TTGGAGAATCCTAATTGTTCTATAAAATTTTTGTAAAACTTCCCAGATACCAATTTCTTCCTCATTCTTACTTTTTTATTCACTTTAAGGGTTAAAGTTAAGATGTTACGATCAAGATTCAGGAATGATTACCATTCAACTGTGGCTTGTTTTCCACAAACAGAAATCATTACATAACAAATTACTGTTACTGCAGTGACATGTTTATTTACTGGTATCAAAAGGGAACTCTCAAGGAATGAGACAGAAAATACCAATGTATTACACCCAAACAACAACCAACCACATATCACATGCAATTCATAAATGTGTGGATTGTTCATTTTTCAGTCACAGAAGGTTATCGGTTTGTTTTTTATAAGGCAATATCCAAAATATCATTGTTTCATTTACCCATACTCTGTGAGCACAGGACAAAATTAGGGCTCTGTTATTCACTAAGCTGGGTAAAGATGTGACCCACCCCCATGCTATATTTGGGTATGAAATACAGTTACATTATGGTTTTGGTTAGTAACCTTATAGAGTAAATGAGTTTCACTTTATCTTGTGTAAATATAGCAGACATGTGAACACACAGCGAGCGCCACTGATTGCTAAAATGACTGTTTGTCAAGGTAGTGTATTGCCTAATTAAGCAAAAGTTATGATTTCTAAAGTGTCTAACGTCATCAGTGTTGCCAACTAATTTTCAGGTAAAGTTGCTAAAGGCAGGTCGATGTGTTGCTAAAAGTTGCTAAATGACATTGTGACATCGCTGGATGATGACGTCATTATGTAACCATGACACAAAACTGTATCATTGCTAGAATACACACTGAAATTACTCAAATCTCAGCAAAGAATATAATTTGTAATATGTTCATTTAGATTTGTTTCGTAAAAATAAAACATTATTTGTAAAAGTAATAAAATCACATTTTTATTACATTGAATTATTTAAAAGTTACCCATTTTTGAAAAATTACATTTTATGTATTTTCTAAATAACTAGTAACACTACACATTATTAACAATTACAGTTTTAAGCAGTGTATTGGTAGTAAGTTATAAGCTACACTCTTAAGGAAAGTCCATAAAAATAGGGCACAGTGTATGTGTTAAAATATGAAGGAATTTTCTGTATTAATTTTTCACTAGCATTTTACCTGTATTTTAAATTACACATTCCATTTAGATGAGATAGATTGATTTTTGAGATAAGATCAACAGTGTACCTAACTGATTAACCATTATAGGCACAAAATAACAATTACGGTGTATCATAAATGAACAATTATTATTGAACAAGTGCAACTAGCAACTTGATTCACATGATGTGATGTGTGTACTGCTGGGCAGCTCTCTGATTCACATCAGCTGATGTGCTGCTTGGCTGGCTAGGCTAGCTGTTTAATAATTTCCTTTTTTGTGTGTGGTTAAGAGGGAAAATGCATGCCTTTTTAATAATTTGAGTCACTTTTCAAAAGTTACTAAAATTTGCCAAATACATTTTAAAAATAGCAAAATTTGGTGCTAGGTGCTTTTTGGAAAGCAAGTTGCTAGGGTAGTCTGAAAAGTTGCTAAATCTAGCAACAAAATTGCTAAATTGGCAACACTGCGATTTGACCGTTCTCTGTAGGTCCCACCCTCTCGCACGCCACGATTGGTCGATTATGTACAATGCTTGCACGCTATTGGTCAAACTACTTTTCAGTCATTATGAAAACAATCGGAAAACAATAGGAAACAAAGACGTATGGTGGTCATTTTATTTTATTAATATCATTTTTTAAATTTTATTCAAATGGGCCAAAATTGTATTAGCAATCAACTTATATGGTCAACTAAAGTAGTAACAATATTGCTAAATATAGCTCATTTAAAAAAGAGAGAGAGACTGCATGCCATTTCTTAATGAATTATTTAAAGACTTAAACAAAAGAAAAGCCGTTTCTCCAAATGTATTCTATCTTCACCCAGTTCGTTTTCACAAGCCAAACCGGCATTGTCTGCAGGCGTCGATTGGGCCGATAGTGACATCTGCTGGACGGAAGCCGTTAATAGCCTACTTTATGATCATGAGCGCCAGTGCAGGCGCTTTAATATTACACTAGACTGTTAACTATTAATAGACCGTATGACCACATTTTCCTTGAAGAGATCCATTGAGCCCATTTTAGAATAAATGTAGGCTGAGAGATTGGTCATTCATTCATTCGCTTCTCACAATATTTCTCAAGATCAGTCTCACGCATATCTTCATTGTTTGTGTTTCCGTAAGCTCGCTGGCAACCAAGACGTGTTTTCGGTGATGATGACATTGTGGTAGGTCGTCTCGGAGGGTGGAGAGAGAGAAGGTGCGCGCCGAATAACTTCCTATCGACCGCGTGTTTTTGTCACTGCAGTGAATGAACATGAGCAGCGGCAGACTATATTCACGACTGCAATCATGTCGTTTTTATTCCGGTGGTTTGAGAGCGACATATCACCGAACCCTGGACAGGATCGAGTTAATGCTGCCGCCTAAATTAAGACCTCTCTACAATCATCCTGCTGGTAAAGACATTCAGTTACTCTGCTCCTGTCAGAAGAAATACACTAGCAGTCGGTCATTGTCAAATATTGCAATATGTGATGCTATTTTGAAGCGTTTATATAATTAGGCCTACATACAGTATATGTTACATCTGAATTCTCTTTTCTAGATTATCTCCACAATGTGATCCATGTTATTTTTCTCAGCCATACTGTGGTCCCCAAAAATAATTTGGACACTTGAGGCACAATTAAATGCAGTAGACATGAAATGCATTATTTATTTTAAAGAATGAAAGCACAAACACATCTTTCATGCAAAAAAATAAATAAAAATACATCACATACATACATCCACTAAAATCACCATGGGACCATGCTGTTAGTTCTGAGAAAAGCTCTAGCATTTTTTTTTTATTTTTTTTTGCAGATGCAGTTGGTTTTATATATTTCAATATATGCAATTAAATTAGAACATTTTAAGTGTTTTAAGTAAATATTTTGGACCGTTTGAATGAGCTAGTCTTATGTGAAGTCCCACTGATGTATATGTTTTTGAAAGGTCTCCATCATCACTGCCTAGACCTGATGGAGATATTGGTGCCTACAGTATGTGCTGTTGAAGCTAAATTTTAATTTACTGTATAAACATGTTGGACATTGCTCAGCCGACTCTAACACCTCCTGCTCTGACTAAAAGATTATTTCTTATCATATACTGCATGACGTTTGAAGGTGGATCGTATCTGCACCCAAGCTTTTTTCCACTAGTGTATTCTTAATTTTTTGTGGAATTCAGAGTATCAAATTTTAAAAAAAAGTGCTTTACACTATAGCACTTGTTATAATTTCTCTCAGAATCTTTTTTTTCTCCTCAGGGCCAAAGACGGTTTTCTTCTGGGCACCTGTTTTTAAATGGGTAAGATGAGTTTTGTTTGTTTTCTCACAGTTGAAATGGTCAAATATAAAATACATCATCACATTTTACTCTCTTCTGTTTTGACATGGTAGCAGTTCTAAGGCTAGATTGAAGAATGTCTTGACCTTGGATGTTTGTGTTTGACTTGATGAGAGAATGTAGTGAAAATGACTAGATACAGTTAGGAATAGCTCATCATTTACTCGCCCCCATGCATTTAAAAACCCACTCTTTCTTGTGTGAAAAATAAAAGTAGCAGAATGTTGCTGCTTTTTCTATACAAGGACTATACCTGGCATAGTTCTTGCATAGGTAACTGGCCATAGCTTAGATTTTCAAGGCGTTTAGTGATTAGCAATTTAAATTTCACTCTGTTTCTCACAAAAAAACAATCATATGGCTTCAGAAAATTTGGAATATGGTGTTGAAGTCAAATTAACTACTTTTATGATGCCTTTTTTGTCCTCCTTTGAGCTTGACAGACCCTGGTCTCCACATAATTTTATTATATGGAAGAGTGCAACTCAAACATTCTGCTAA